TGTAGGATGCCTTAACATCAGTTTAGTCATTTTAGATAGCGAGTCAATATTTATTTACCTTTGTGATTGAGTTTTTATTCTTTAACGAGGATGAATACCAAGCAATCAGAGTCTTAGTGGTTTTATTAACGCTCGCTGGTTTAATCGCCACTGCTAAATGTTCTTTGATCTTATACAGCCCCAGTGGAAGTTCGTTATGTTTCATAACATTTTACAGATGGATTGGAAAAGCGGCTCCTCAATAATCCGATCGCAGCGAGCGGTCCAAGCACCGGATCCCTTCTGCTGGCTGGGTGGGAAACATTGCCCTTCGAATGTGGTTTTTACCCGGTTTGACTCGTGACTTCGGGCCGGTGAGGTTCGAGCTGTGGGTCTCAGCCTGCGGTAACTGACTGTTATATGTTATACCATAATGACATGGAAATCGGTCTGGAGCTGCAGCTATACTAAACTGTGCAACTAGCTAGGGTTAGTTGTTTTATGAAATAAAATATTTCATAAAAAAATAAATAATGCTTTGAATCAGCTTTATTGCCATCAGGCACTTTATTAGAGCTATACAAGAGAGAAAACAAGTCTTTGCAACTTTGGTATATTAAATACAACTTTGATGATTGATGATAAAAGATTCTGCCGTGAAGTGATCCTAACATAGTTTGCTGCATCGGTTTGGACGCAACAGATTGTCTGCTTGATTTTTTGTCTAATATATTTACTTTCCAGTTCGAAATTTGACACAAAACCGGGTCCTTCGAAAAAATTAAACATTCCTTTTCCAGATCCAAAGCCATTCCTACAATTAGCAGCAGTAGAATAGACCATTGTAATGATGTTTTAATGATTCTTTCAGAGTGCTTAACTATGCGTAAAGTAGTGGTTCTATACATCCACCCGGAGGGGTTGGACTACACTGACATCACAGCTGGGTTTTATCACATGACAGCTCTAGAGGCGCCCAGCATACTGTAAAGCTCTCTACATTTTTATTACTTGGAGCATTTTTAGTGCAATTTAGACCAGCCACATAGAGAAAAGAAATGATAATCTACCATCACAAATAATAAAACTGCTTTAGACGCACTCTTTTCTATTTGAAATTTAAAATATGAGTCTTTATTAACCCTTAAGTTCTTTTACCTCATGCCAGGAAAAAAAGCTACAAAATCAATAGAAGAATAATTATGTTTTGTTCACCCGAAAAAATAAAATTCTAACTGGAATAAGGAATCGGAATAATCCCGATTAATCTATTACACCCCCAACATGGACTGTTCTCCCTGCTGCCCTCTGGGAAGAGGCCTCGCAGCATTCAATGCAGGTCCTGCAGGTTCTGCAACAGCTTTTCCCCCACATGTTATCACTCCTGCACTTTATTAAATGGAAATGTTAATTTCACTGCTAAGCTGTTCATTCACTGTCTGAAAGCTGTACAAAATGAAATTTCGTTTTGAATACACTATGTGTATACAATAAAATGACAATAAAAGTTGTCCAAATCTAAGTCTAATCGATTGATTGTCAGCTGGAGTGTATAGACTCTAAAACATGCCTTTAGCTGATAGAGCAACCCACCTAGAGAAGCACTTATACCAAGATTGTAAAATAAATATATATAAATATTTTGCATTTAAGCTAAAAAAAAACATTTTCATCTGTCAGTATGTTCTATCCAGAACTCCTCAAGTGTAAAAGATTCAGTTTCACCTGGTTTCATTTAAAATTAAACCTATAGCTGACGATCCCAAGGCCCTTAATTTAAAAAGAAACTTCTTTAAGGAACCTTTGGCTATCTGATTATTAATCAAAAGATAATCGACAGATTGATCGATTTGCAAAATAATAGTTTGTTGAAGATCTAATTCAAACCTAATTCCTTTTATAATAGGAAGGATCATCAACACAGAGCCAACCTGTTAACATCAACCAGGCGTTTCAGCCAACTCCTAAGCCTGAAGACTTTTTGAGCTGGAAAATGAAGATATTTTACCCCGTTTCCAAAGAACACCATTCTGAGCTCTGTTTACATCCATCAGCCAGGTGTTGATCTTTTTGTCTGGGACTAGGAACTAGAAGAGTTACAGACGACCACTAGTCTTTTTGTGTGAGAGGAAGCAGACTTTCCTCTGTTTCCTTTATCTTCATTGCTAGATCTTCAGGACAAGTATGGATGCTAACTAACACAGCTGCACAGTAATCATGCATATTTCCATAAGAAATTAATTTTAATTTAAATACATATGTATGTCATTTAAAAGAAAAAGCTTACAAGGTTACATCAAAGAAGAGCGCGGTGTATTTATATTAGTACTGGAAGGATCTGTTTCTGGCACCAAAAGGTGAAGAAATCTTCCCTTTAACATTTATTATTGTTCATTTCCATAGCCCTTATGTTTAGAGAGAGCCATCACCATCAATTTGCACAATCCCAGCTCAATATGAACATATAGAATCAACTATATACTACAACAGTGAAACTGAACCTCTAAGATCAGGTTAAAGAATAGTGAAACATGCATTATGAAAAATTCAAAGAGATCTGCTGCAGGCAATCAAACTTACAGAGAAATGAAACAAGCAGATGCTCAGAGCCTTCAACTTGACAGGACAGTGAGTCATCAGGGAGCTAAAAGAGGAGAAGAATTGAACTATGGCTGCAGGAGACAAATTGGCTCTGAGCAGCGAACAGTGTCAGAGGTCATGGCTGAAGACGGTGGAAATATTTCATTTGTCTGACAGGCCTAAATTAAAACTTTAGATTCCTATTTTAACATAATGCTGAGAAGTAATGATGAGAACATGAATAGATCTGCTGCTGAGGTTAACAAGAAACAGGGACACAGACAGTTAGATGACTCTTTGGGAACTCTGTGGTTCATTGAAAGGATTTATAAGCAGGCAGTCTACAGTTAATCTTCTGTATCTTAACCATAATGCTGACACTTAATTAGTGAACAATAAACAGAAATAGAAAAAAAATATTGAAAAGTTAAAATACCAGCTATTTTAATATTAGAAAGCTAACATGATAAAAACTTTTATCTATTTATTCCTAATTACTAATACATTTAGAACTTAATATAGATACTTTTTCCTTAAAATGCAATGCAAATACATTAGAAATGCACCATGCATTAGGTGGATGGATAGAAACATCCGAACCTTACCTAATGGTTACCAGGTCACACTGACACCATTTTGCAGAGGTGTGAGATGTTAGAGACTGGAGCAGATGAAAGGAAGGCTCAGCACAAAACAACAAAGTTCCTGTTTCATGCCTTTGAGCTTTAAACTTCTGCAGCAATGGAGTTGGTAACATTTTAACCTTTAAAGTATATCAGAATACACTGAGTTTTTCTAGATCCAGGCTGCACATTAGTTGGTTAATCCTGGAAATGTTCTTAAGGTGATAAAGGTGATGACTGCCATTATGTGCCTCTGAAAGTTCAGGTCCGAGTACATCGTGACACCAAGATTTCGGCCATAATCAGTTGATTCTAGCTTTAGTAGCTGAAGCTATGAGCTAACTCTGGATCTCGGCTCCTTGTATCCATAAATTATTACCTTAGTTTTGTTACTCAGTTTTAAAAAATTATGGCACATTCACATATTGATCTCTTCTAAACATTTAGCCAACAATGCGATGGATTTATGTCACCTAGTGACGTTGTGAAATAAAGCTGTGTGTTAGGTAGGAGGTAAAGCAGTCCAGTGCGGTACCAGAAAGCCCAACCCAGTTTTCCAGACGCTCTAATAAAATGTGTGATCAACAGTATCAAACACTACATTGTCAAATAATACCAGAACTGGGGTTCTCTCAGAGTCTGAATTAATTTGGATATCATTGAACAACTTAATCCGGGCAGTCTCTGTATGGTGGTTGGCATGGAAACCTGACTGGAAGACTCGAAAGCAGCATCACTTTTAAAAGGGCCTTGCTGAAACACAACTTTTTCAATATTCTTACTGATGAAAGGGAGGTTAGAGATGGGCCTGTAGTTCTGCAAGACCAATTCGTCAAATTCTTAATATAGTATTGGGCTGCAACCAGAGGCAATCCCTTATCTCTGACCTTAAGACTAAACTCTGACCAAAGAGATGTTAACATTAACAGAGACTCCCTCCAGTCTTAGCCTATACCACAGCAAACACCTGCAGGTTTAGCTTAGGTGTGCTTTTCCTGCCAGATTGACCAACACAAACAAAGGTGACTAGTGACAGATGCTGTGATGAGTATCGGTATCAGTTCCAAAAAATAGCATCGGCACAACACTAGTTAAAACAGTGGATGCCATTCAACAGCAATGTGCAACCAAACTGGTGACCAGCATTAGGAGGAGGTTCCAGGCTGTGGTGGTTTGGTTTAGCTCTCATGCAAACTAATGAGGTGTCTGTTTGCTCAATGATTACATTTTTAAACAAACAAAATCTCTTCTTTTATGCAAATGTCAGCCACTAAAACCGCTTAACACCATGAAACAAGAATCAATAGTAGAATAAGCTGCTTGCCATTGGCTGAACCCAGACAATCAACTATGCTGCTGAACCCACCAACTTATAGAGACATCGCTTTACAGAAACTGTTAACTTAAGATTTTTTTTTAAAGGGACCTCCATGACATGTAGGAAAACTATAACCACAGTCATGGGTTTTGTATTAATTCAGGACAGATGGACGGAGCTGAAATGCTTACTAACCACCCATGAGGTCACAAGGTCGGTTCCCATCCCAGGAGAGATTTACTGAGAGCTGCAGCGTTTGTTATTCTGTCCCAGCATTCAGCTCTGTAAACGCACAAGTGTTTACGTGCACAGACACAAACCGAGTTACCCGAAATGGAAACATGTCATCAGTGAGAGGATGGTGAAACCACAACAGAGCATACAAACACACACAAAAAGTCCAGTCCAGGTCACTCAGCCTCACAAAGAATCAGCTGGCAAACAAAATAAGCTATAAAAATCAGTAACAAACTCTTCACAGGATAAGTTTGTGTGAGTACCTGTCTCCTCCGGGGAGTTGCTGTCCTGAGACAAGGTAGTCCAGCTCAGCTCTTCATCACTGGGGTTCAGATTCTGGATCCGGTTCAAAGCACAGTCTGTCTTTGCTCCAGTCCTCCTGTCCTTCTTGGTCTCTGGAGATGAAGAGGAGGAGGAGGAGGGGCAGGAGGTAGCAGAGAGCAGGGGAGTGTCTTCTGGGCTGCCTTGCCTTGGCGGAGAGAGCAGGGGAGGAACCCTGGAGTTCTTTCCTGATTGGAGGAACGTGATGTTGGACTGGATTTCGGTGATGATTTCAGATGCTGGGGAAACTTTGCTCTCCTTCGAAGGAGAATCATTTTTCAGGCAGAGCAAAGGTTTCTTCTCCTCATCACTCGGGTCCTCAACCAAATCATCTTCCTCTATCTTCATCTTTGAAGGGATTTCCCTTTCAGACAGAATGCTTATGTCATCAGGCTCCTCCACCTCAATGTTCAAGTCAAAGTCTAAATCTGCAGTGTTGCTTTTAAGTTTGGTCTCCACTGTCCTGTTAATGTTAGAGTCCACATGTGGCTCTGTTTTCGGCTCCGACTCGACATCACTAGGGGAACCTGGCTGCTGCTCCACCTCAAACATGTCTTCCTCTCGATCATTGTTGGTGAGAGACTGACTGTCATGCTCTTCCTCTGTGTTAACATTGGGATCATCAGCTATAGGTTCAGGGTTATGCTCTGGGTCTGCTGAGTCAGGGTCGGTTGTGTTTTTATTGTGGTCCTGACCAGCTTTACGCAGCTGATTGGCCCCATTCTTGGCTAGTTTGGGATTGTTGGAGGCTGCGGGCTGTGGTGGGGACGACGGTGATGTCGCAGGTGGTGTGCTCTCTCCGAGGCCCATGGCAGCCTGGATACTTGTGAGCGCGTACTTCTTGCGACATTTTGGTGGCGTGGCCGAGCCTTGCTTGATCACGTCACCGCTGACAAGCTGATTGTGTGATGAGCGGAGGCTAAGAGAAGAGGGAGGCGTGGCAGCAGGGCCATTGCGATTGGTCATGTCCACTGACATCATAGTAACTCAAGACCTGCAGTAGAAAAGATACTGTGGATTAATACATAGAAATACATATAAGACATAATGTCAAAAAAAATTCATAATAAAGCTGAAATCTTTTATGTCGAGGTATAAAAATAGTAACAGTATTGTCTTCAATAACAGCTTTAAAAACAGAGAGTCAGCCATTTTTAAATAAGTGGTATAACTGTTCTTCTGGCCTTCAAAATGCCAAGAATGGGGTCTATAGTGAAGGTATACTCAGTGTATCTACTTTTCTAACTTGCGTCAACAACAACCTGGTCTGGCCTCTATGATAATGACCTAAATCTTTCAGTAATGAGAGAAGATCTGTAAATAATATAAGACAAATCTAAAAATGAAGTAGAGTTAACCAAAACGACAGAGTTCATGAAGCAGAGTATCGAAAAAATAATCGTCAGATTCATCGATTTGCAAATAATTGCTAGTTTCAGCCCTAGTCACAGGTACCCCCTTCCCCACCCATTGCCATGCACAAATGAGGTTGCTAGGAAATACTTGAAGTTGCTCTCCAGACCAAATATCCCAAGTCACATTTGACTCTATGTATTTAAGTGGATTTAGTGATTGAACAAGAAGCCTGACATCAAGACTCAATGTTTACTTCATACCTGTAGGGGTTCAGCCACAGACTGGTGCTGCTCACACTTCAGAGTACAGGAGATTCAGATCTAAGAATGAGAGAGTGAAAAAAAGACAGTAAAACTATGATCACTGAGGAATGAAAGGAAACCTTAGTACTTATTGGATGGCTCAGAGACCATATTCATCAATGTGGAACCAGACCACAGCTGTGTTTCTGTGGAATCCACACAGCTGTTAGGCTGTGAGGATTATTTGGTGCATCACAGATATCAAAAAAGGGAGGAAAAAAAGAAAATATATCAGTAAGAACTTTCTAGGTCAGCAACTCAAAGAGTTTAATTGAATTTATCAAAAAAAACAAAATGCAGGTTCTAAAAGGTATACTTTACTGGATATTGTTTACTTAAAAACGAAACATTGCACTTACCCAAAAACTATGAGTTTTGAGAAATGGCAGGGTGCTGCAGGTCCATGCTGGTAGTCCACAGTGTGTTCCTTATCCAATCACTAAAGCAACGGTGCACTGTGGGAACAACACATAAAACAGGATTAATAACAGCGCATGAGGCAGGGTGAGCAGAGGGGGAATAAAAGGTACACAGGACATCAGAAGGACAAATACAAGGTATTAATTATTCACAAGAACAGTCAAACAATAAAATCAGGATGAGTGTTTGCATAACTACACCTTATGAATGTAGGAACAAAAAACGTATTTAGTACAAAGCTCATATTTTATGAAGTATTGCCATTAACATGCTGCCTGGAAATATCATAAACCTTATGCCACATGAGACCAGTAAACTCCCATTCTTCTGCTTTCAAACACCACAAACACATGAACAAGCTTAAAAACACCCATTAAGAAGTTCAGGGCAGTTTTTTATAGAGGAGCTGGGGAACATGCCGGATATAGTGGAAACTAAGGTATAAGCAAAACAAATCCTTTTATATTAAGAACTTTCAAAAAATACAAAACTATATTATACTGCAAAAGTTTAGTTGTTTTTTTTTCTTTAACCACAAATTTGTATTTAAGAGGACATCCCATCTCAAGTTAAAAGATGATTTTGAACTCAAATCTGCCAGAGGTATGAAATATTTTAAGCTTTACCATAGAGGGTGAATAAAAAAAAATTGTTGTCAGCAGTGTTGTATAGTAACGCAGTAAAGTTACTTCACTACTGTACTTTTGGATTACATTTTGGATTACATTTTGTATATGTTGGATTACTTTACACTTTCCTTGAGTATAAAAGTTTACCAAAAATATAAAAAATGTCATTCAAACTGCATTTGCCTTTATTTATACTTTTTATTACATTACTCAAGTAAATCTATTTTTTCAGTAATTTTCATACATAAGTAGAAGACATTTCAGATACTTTGGCAAGACTTTAACTCAAGTAACATTTCAGTCAGTGACTTGGACTTTTACCAGTCATATTTTGGAGAGGTACCTATACTTTTATACTTTTAATTGACTCTGAGATTTCAGTACTTTAAACAACACATGCTGTAAGTATTGTGACAACAGGACGTCTGAATTACAGGACTTTCCTCTTTGTGCAAAGAAAGCTGTGTTGGATTGAAGCCAACCAATGCCTCCCTCACAGCTTCAAAAACAAAGTTGACCACTTGAGAGGAGGTAAAAGGGTCAGGAATCTTTTCTAACAGTGAGGCTCCACTGAATGCGTAACCCTCGTGGAGCATACGCGCTTTCTGCCAAGTACTTTATTCCAAAAGAAGCACCTCGAAGCGGTCGGACTCAGATCACACCAAGATTTCACTATTGCCCTATAGTAGTACACGAGTAAGCTTTAAATAGAACAATAAAGTGGTTATTTGGCCAGTACAAGCTGTGTCTCACATGCCTGCACCTTATCTAGTCGTCTTGCCTTTCTTTCTCTCGATCCAGTATGGGTAAATGATTTCATTTATTTTTCAAACCAAGGGCGGTTGTGTTCATGCTCCTTCATTTCTGCCAATCTCAGTCCAAATGTTCATGTGACAAGTCTTCCCCATCAGAAAGAATCAATTTTTCCTCTCTCTGCGACAATGGAGACTGAGATGTTTTCAAACCATTACACTCTGGAACCCGTCCCCAAATGTTCGCCGTTGATATATAAGCAAACATTTCAAAGTTTTCACCCAAAATAAACAAAAAAGCACACCAAGGAAGGAGAAGATAACTATATATTTGAACATCGAAATATGTTCCATGGTTCAAAGAAACAAGAACTGAATTTGATAAACAGAACAAATTGTGAGGCAACAGAAATCAAATAATTTCACACTCAAAGCTGTTTACAAAAGAAAATAACACACATGTTAAAAGATCTAGGGGTTTCATAGCTGTAGTTTCCCATCAGTAGGTAGAACTCTGACTATACCTGCCTCTGAAGTTACCATTAAACATCTGGTTTGATTTGCAAACAACAGTGAGAAGATATAAATGTGATTGGCAGCTGTGTAATTCTGACCACCTGTACAAAGTGTAATGCCTTTTTTCAGTAGTTTACATTTGGACAGGTCAGATCATGCTGAGGTACACAGTGGTAGATGTAAGCGTTTAAGAGAGTGGGGTTGCGATAAACCTTAAAGAACCACTGATATTATCAAAGGGCAAATAAAGAAAAGAATGGTGCTCAAATAAATGCAAAAAAACATATGTAGCATTATAGGAATTATAGGAGTCCACATATGACTGTGACAGGCACAGAGAAAGGGGAATGTTTCCTGGATTAGAATTACAAGGCACGCTCTGTTTCTTAAATCTTGCACTAACAAGTCTGCATACCAGAGAATATATTTAAGTTTGTGAGAGTGAAAACGTCTTGTTTAAAAAAAGGAGGGAGTACATTAAAACTGCTGACTCATTTCTCCGGAAACACTGCAAATGACAGGCTATTGAAGATTGGATACAACACCTAAAAACATATATTTATCTCTTTATAAAGAGCTGTTTTGTTTTTGTTTTTAAGACAACTACACAGAAAACATGTCAGATTCAGTATTCACTGCATTAAAGCAAAGCTCCACATGATTTTTATTTTTTAACTCTAGGGCGGTGTTCTTTCTAAGCATGACCTCTGCTCTCCAGCCCTGAATAGACATAAAGTTACATCCTCTGCAGCCAATTTACCTTTCCATTACTCTGCACGTACGCAGAGGAAAACATTTCAGTTTATTTCCTGCAGCACCTGAACAAAGAGGCCTTTACCAGTGTGTCATTATGTCCCTTTACTTGAACAAATGACAAGAAAGCCGTAAAAATCATTCTAATTTGGATCACGATCATTTTATGAATGCTGATTGATTTGTTAACTGACTGTTATCCTGTAAAGATAAGGACTGGGATGCATCAGGAAATAAATGGGGAGAGTTTGAGTTGGACTGGGCCTGAACAGGAAACACACACAAAAACATTTAAAGAGTCCACACACATACACATTCTACATGGAACACGTTTTAACATCTTGTTTTATTGAAGATTCAAACCAGCCTATTCTTACAATTAGTGGGGTGTTGAAAAAAAACAGGTCAAAAGAACCACAGAAGTCATTGATTTATTTTGCAGCAATACTGTATGTCAGTTGTTCATACAGTGTGCGCAAACAGAGGGTAAGAGCAGATAACAGGAAGGCTTAATTCATTTTTTTCCTGCTATGCTGGGTTTGGAGATGTTGGCAAACCTCAGCAAATCTGAATTTACACTGCCTAAGAACAGAGGTTGAAGTCTTTAATTAAAAGGGTTTACATGCTGTTTGCTAATACAAGATGCTAGAGAAGATTTAAAAAGTCAACAACATATTCTTTTTGTATTGCCTCTGGGCCAGGACTCCTTTGAAGAAGGTTTTTAATCTCAGCGGGACTCCTAACGGTAAATCACATTAAAAAAAATGTCATCCGAAATAACAACAATAACAAGCTGCTTCCACCAATCACTTTAGAAAAGCTAAAAAAAAAAAAATAAATAAATAAATGTTCTAAAAAATGCTGTAAATTCTTATTCCCCAGTTAAAAAAAAAAAAAAAAAAAAGATTCAATCTTAGGTTTAGAAAATAAAGATTGAAAATTGACATCAAACTTAAGAGTGGTGCTTTTTAAGTAGAAAAATTTAAGCTGCTCCCCATGACTGCTAAACCACGACACTGTGAACCATCAAAGTGAAATAAATTATAGTAAAACTGTTAGCAGTTAGATGTACTGAACACCATGTGAGGTTTGGATCCACTTAGCAATGGTTAACTTTTATTTAGGAACATGTCAGCATCATGTCTCCAACATTAGACAGACAATAAATTGAATCCAATCAGTAACCTTTAGAGGTCAGGAGAGGCCTAATGATTACATGCTGTTAGGACTCTTATCTCTGCACTATGCTATAAAGAGTATTATAGTATATGTTCAAATCTTAATCAGTCAAATAGAAGAAAACATGTCCACTGCTTTGTAGCCAGCTCAGTCAAGATGACATTACATGATAATTGTAAAATATTAAATTTCAATATTATTGCTGAATATTGTGATTAAGATAATAATATTAAACCCACTTTGTCCCTTTAATCAATAAGATCTACATTAGGAGTGGTAAAGGTTTATGTAAAATAGACAAATATTGCATTGTCAAATTTTAAAAACACAACATTTCTTTCTTGCATATCTATGCCTAAAGGCTGATTTACACTCAGTAACCAGGTTGTCTGCGCAGGTATCGCAGTTAACGCAGATATGCTCCCGCCCCTTCCGCAGACACTCTGCTGCACCTCTCCAAAACTGTAGGTGACCGCAGACAGGAGGCCTCTGATTGGTCAAATCTACATCCGCTCTACACTATGCGTATTTCCTGTTTGGTACCTAACAGGCTTGTTTTGTTTGTATGACCACCATGGTGGAAAACGCCATGGACCAGCTAGAAGAGCGAGGTGCGTGAGAACGCTGGGATCCTTTTTGCACCTGGATCCCCGCTCTTTTTGGCCCTCATGTCCCTCCATTGTCGGACAAACTTGCCCTCACTTCCTCACCGCCTCGTCCGTAACTAGACCCTCAGCTAGTTCGGGATTGTCCCTCTTGCGTTGTGGCGTAATAGTTCAAATTTGGGCATAAATCAAAAATATCTGTGTCATACCTTTGACAAGCTCACTGCGACTCACTGCTGGGGGAGTATAACCAGCCCCTAAGTTCACAGCAATTGTGGGAACTTTACAGATCTCCCTCTGGAACCCCAAAGAGGACTTTGTGTAAGCAGCAGTGCTTTCTCAAATGTGTAAACACACTTTGATGTGAAAAAAGTGGAGTTTCCCTTCAGAGTTACCACTTAAACCTCACGCTGCAAACCCCAAGCGATGCAGCAGCTAAAACAACAACAAAAAACATAAGTATTACGGCCCAAAAGCTAAGTAGAGACTACATTTAAAGGTGGCGTGTCATTAAGTGCTCCAAACGCAGATGTCTGAGCTTCAGATATGGAGCAGCGCTGAAGGACTAATAAACATAAAAACTTTAACTTCCAATCCCACA